AGAGAGCGTGGCCAATGACCTTGTCCAGTGTCCTACATGATTGTAAAGCACAACCTGTGGCCTTGCCCAAATTCAGGGTACAGACTGTGACTCCACCTGATTGCAGAGCATAATTTGAGGCCCTGTCTGACTGTGAAGTCTTGCCTGTGGCTTTATCTGAAGACAGTGTCCAGCCAGCAACACCATCTAGTTGAGGAGCATGCCTGAGGTCCCATTTGACCAGGAGTGATTTTAGAGCCTAGCCTATAGCCATATATGCAGTTGTAGAGTCCAACCTGTGGCATTACTCTGCCAGGAAAAACAGCTCGCAATCTTGCCCAACCAGAGATGATTGCAGAGCCTAGCTAGTGGGCTCACCTGACCTGATGGAATGCAGTAGCAGCTCCGCCTGACCAGGGAGCCCACCCAGCAGCCCTACTTAAATGCAGAGCCCAGGCCATAGGACCACCCAACTGCAGAGCCTAGCCAGCATGACTCCCCTTCCCCTTCAGCCTCAGAGCGTGGGTAGTGGCCTTCCCCAACTAGAAACCATGAAGGTAAGCCCTATGTGCTCAAGGATGCTACTAATTGACCCATTCAGTATCCCAAGCTGAGCTGACCGAGGTGAAGGTCTTTTTCTACCAAAGTAAACCTATAAAGTAGGAAAATAGAGACTGCTTATCCCAATGTGCAGATACAAGTGCAGAGATACAAGGATTCCAAAGAATCAGGTAAATACATGACCACCAGAGTAATCTAATAAAGCTCCAATAACTAATACCTAAAAAAATGATGATCTATGAACTGTCTGACAAAGAATTCAGAATAATCCTTTTAAAGAAGTTCAGTGAATTATAAGAAAACACAGACGACCAAACAAAAATAAGTTACAATACATGAACAAAATGAGAATTTGAACAAAGAAATAGAAATGACAAAAAAAAAGAGAAAGAAAAAGAAAGAAAGAAAGAAAGAAAGAAAGGAAGAAAGAAAGAAAGAAAGAAAGAAAAAGACCATCTGTCTCACCGTCATCCCCAAGAAAAATTTTTTTCCTGTTTGATGGAGAGAAAAAATCTCACAATGAATCTGACTGACTTTATTTTAACTTCATCATCACAAACTCCCATGAGACATTCAACAATGTCTGTGACTGGAATAATCACTTACTTAGAACAGTGGTTCTAAATAAACTGGAGAGGCAGGAAAGTCAGATTACGTATGACCTTGAATTAATCAATTGGGTAAAAATGTGTTGATCCTACTACACTCTAAACACTGTAAGATATCACATTAATGAGAAATAAAACCAATGTGGATCTAAATGCCCATGAAGCTAACAGTCTAGTTTATGTGTAGTATTGAGTAATCCATATTAAGAAAGCTAGTTTTATTTTATGAACAATGAAAGCTACTGATATTATAATATAATGTAATTACTCTAACAGAATCTCAATTGAAGGTAGGGACCTTAATTACTTTATTCACCTTTTTATCCCTGTGACTATTCCAGTGATGGATATATGATTGATAATAATAAATATTTATTGAATTATTGAGGTTTATATAGGGTTAATTAGCTGCCCAAATTCATGCAGATATCAAATAGTTGAGTTGAATTCAGAATAATATAAAAAACAGGAAATAGTATAGCTTTGTTAAGAAATTCTAGAAAGAAAGATTCAACATACCATTTCAGAATGTTGAAAGTGGTATAATGTTTAACAGGATGGTTTGTGGAGTCAAGGAGATAAACGTAGATTTGAATTTCAAGTTAGTTTCAAATCTTGTTCCCCACTTCTCAACTACTAGCACCCAGTAGCACTGTAACATAAGGTAAGCTGAAGGTTCCCATGAGATCCAGCTCATCAGCTGATGGGGTCCCAGTATCCCAAACTACTATTGTTCCCAGCTGGCTTGGAGAAGAGGTGGGGCAGTGTGAGGAATTGACAGCAGACCATAAAACCCTCTAGATTTTTTCATCAGAGCCAAGGAAACAGTTCAAGTTGTAGTTTCTGGATGCAAGCAGCTGACAAGTTGGGCAAGCATCTAATCTATTGCATCCTCGGTGAGTTCCAGGGCTAAGGGATGGAAGCAATATTGTGCTGGGCCACAGCAACTGGGTTTCCAGGACACTCAGAGCAGAAGACCCTCTCCTCATTCTTATGTTGGCTCTCGTGATAAAAGAAGAAAAAGGCTGTGAGTGGTGGTACTGGATGCAGAACATTCAGAAATCCTAGGTTTCTCCTAGAAGAGAATGTGCTTCTATAGTCTCTATATATAGCAATTCCATATATTTGAATACAAGGGGTCCCATGTTTTCTATGGCTGGGGACTTCATACAAGTATGTGACCAAAATCTATCCGACCTGTCTAAAAAAGTTGTGTAGGAATTTCAGAGAGAGGAAGGATGGTTCTAGGACAGGAACAGTGTTTGGAGTTTAATATGACACCAGACACCAGGCCCATGAGACTCGGAGAACAAGCTGATGAAGAAATTTGGTCATTGCCTTCCCCCAATGTGTTCCACCAAAATAATGTTAACAAGAGAGAAAGTCTCCTCTGATTATTGTACAGGACTCTTATTCAACAGAAAAAGAGTTCTCTGTGGTTTTCTCCCAATGGTCCTGGTTTTGATTTCTTCTTGAAAGTCAGTGATACACGTGGAAGGCATCACTTAGATAAAATATCTTCACTTTCCCCAATTATTTCTCCTTATGAGTTTTAAAGCCCTCTTTGTCTTGGCTGCCTTATTCAATGAGGTATAGTTTTTAAAATATTCCTTAAATCAAGGTGCACTGAAGTAGACACAATATTCTAAGCATGGTTGAATGTGAGAAAAGCAGAATAGAAGATCCATCACTTTCTCTCTAATCACTGTCATGTCTTTTAGTAGAGATTAAGTTTCTAATAGTTCTTATTAACTGAATATATAAAAATTTCAACTCATATTCATGTCTGTAATTCTATATGACATTATATCCATGCATCTGAACTTCTTTTTCTCTGCATCCATTTCTTATCATCCCCCCTTTTCTTAGCCTATATTATATACACACTTCTTAGAGAAATCCAGGAGCAGAAGGATGAGATTAACTAGAATAGTTCTCTGCAATGAAGGGAGGAATTAGGACAGGGAGGTGGATGGATAAGAGACTGTGATTTGTAATGCATGATCATGGATAGGCACTACTTAAGGGACAGGAAAAAGAACACAGAGCTAAAGAGGGGATCTTTCAGGGATGGCAGAATAAGACAAAAAAAAAAAGAGTGAGTGAAGGGCGAGAAATAAGATTAACTACGGTTTGAATTTACCTTATGTGTTGATAGTTTCAATTCTCTACCTTTAATTCCAAGCATTCAAGCGAATTCCCACACTTCATGGTCATGTTTATTTTGATAGCTTACAGACACTATAAACTCAACATATCAAAACTAGATCCATCATCTTTGCTTCTATAACATACACTAAGTCTTTTCAAAGCCTGTTGTGTCTTGTAAAATTTACTTAGTCATTTAATATAGAAGAGACAATACAATTTTAAAGTTTCTATCCTCTCTTCCTCTATACAACTACTCAGTCTAATCTCTGTTTATGTCAATATATTTATGCCCCTAAAAATGAGCCTTTCTACACCCTCAGAGACATTCCAGACCATCTATTTGCACACTGATCACTTCTCAACTGGACTATTGAAGCTAACAGTTGCTTGTCTCCTTTTGGATAACCTTTGCCTCTTCTGGTTCTTTAAGTTTTGGTATTAAGAAAAAAAAAAAAGGAAATATGAGGTAGAGATTTAATGTCTTTGTTCAAGAACCGAAATTATGGTTTTACACTAAATGGGGATGTGGGATAGATGTAGGAATTAATTAAGATCTGAGAGACTTGAGTGTTTTGAATGTCCAAGGGAAGGAGATCCAAGAAGGGGGAGCTTGAATACATAGGACATTGACTAGATAATTAACAGGCTAAAGTTCCTGAGAAGATCAGGGTAGATAGGCTCCAAATCAGAGGTGGAGAGATTGGAATTCAGAGGGGTAGATCTTTGAGTCAACTAGATACAAAGAGACAGTAAGTGTATAGGTATCAATGAGTTTATGAATATATTATGGGAAATTGAGGAAATTGGACAGCCTATTGCTGTCTTTGTGGAACAGCTGGAGAGGTCATCTGCTGAGAGAGGAGAGGATTTAGCATTTGAAAAAAGTTTAGAACATTAAAAAAATCGATTGCAATGAATGAAGACATGAACTAACCAGAGACTGTTATATTGAACATTCCTATTAAAGGCTCATTTGAGGTTGGTGGTCATAAATATTAATAAAAATAGCCTGCCTTTGAGCATAAATTTCTATAAGAATATTGAACTGTACTTGCACAGGCTTGCCTTAAGTATGTCCAAGACGGTTTGTGGTAGAGATATAATAAGTGAGAATGATGGAGGGATTTGGGGAACCCTCTTTAATCAATGTTTACTTTTATTTTCTTTTATCATAGGATTAAAAGTATCATTTAAATCATAAATTTTCCATCTCAAATTTACTTTGGTGTGTGATAAAAAGTGAGGAAACATTAATTTTTTGTCACTTTCTAACAAATTATGTCTATAATAATTAAAAGACCTATAGTTAAATAGAATTTTTATGATCTTTGTTAATTCTGGGTTATTCTGTAAACTAGTGAGTACTTCTGGCCTCTGGGATCTATAACTGATCAATTTGTGTTATCTGTATCATATGTTAGTATCACTTATAAAAAATTTTGTAGTTTTACAATATGTTTTAATGAGGTAATTCTCATTATTTTCCTTCTAAACTTTGTGACTAGTCTTTTTTGTTTTTCTAAATTAACTTTAAAATAATTTGCCAGCTCTTCCCCTGACTCATATTAGTCTTCACTGAACTTGGCTTTCATTTGGGATAGCTTTCTATATCTCATCAGTTTTCTGGATGAGTAGTGTTAGCAAATATTTTGACAACTTCATTTTCTATTGACCTAATTTGTGTGTCTTATCGTACATAAACCTAGGTGAAATATCCTCATCTTAGGATTTATCTCATGACATTATCCAGCAACTACTCCACTGCTCCAGTCTCTGAATTCTTCCTCATCTGCTTCCCTAACTACAAGAGTTGGCAGCACTGGCTGTCACTGCCCCTCAGCCTCCTCTTCCTTCTGGCCATGGGAGCCAACGCCACCCTCCTGATCACCATCCGGCTGGAGGCCTCTCTGCACGAGCCCATGTACTATCTGCTCAGCTTCCTCTCTCTGCTGGACATGGTGCTCTGTCTCACCGTCATCCCCAAGGTCCTGGCCATTTTCTGGTTTGACCTCAGGGCCATCAGCTTCTCTGCCTGCTTCCTCCAGATGTTCATTATGAATTGCTTTCTTGCCATGGAGTCCTGCACTTTCATGATCATGGCCTATGACCGCTATGTGGCCATCTGTCACCCACTACGATACCCATCCATCATCACTAACCAATTTGTGGCCAAAGCTAGTGTTTTCATCATGGCTCGGAATGGTTTGCTGCTCTCACCGGTCCCCATTCTCTCTGCTCGGCTTCATTACTGTGGAAAAAATGTCATTGAGAACTGCATCTGTGCCAACTTGTCTGTGTCTAGGCTCTCCTGTGACGACGTCACTCTTAACAGAATCTACCAGTTTGTGGCTGGTTGGACCTTACTGGGCTTGGATTTCATCCTTATCTTCCTCTCCTATGCCTTCATTCTAAGAGCTGTGCTTAGATTCAAGGCTGAGGGGGCTGCGGTCAAAGCTTTAAGCACATGTGGCTCCCACTTCATTCTCATTCTCTTCTTCAGCACCATCCTGCTGGTTGTGGTGTTAACAAATGTGTCCAGAAAGAGAGTCCCCATGGACATCCTAATCCTGCTCAATGTCCTTCATCACCTCATACCTCCTGCCTTGAACCCTATTGTTTATGGGTTTCGAACCAAAGAGTTAAAGCAGGGGTTTCAGAAGTTGCTACAGAGGAGGCTTTAAATACACAGAAGGGACTCTCTATAGAAACATCTATTCCTATTTCCTCTGTCTTATTTCAGAATTTGTGATTCTAGTCAGTAAAATAATGCTCAGAAAGTGAATATTTCCTGCCTACTTTTTGTCCCTTCCATATCAGGGATTACTGTGGATTTCTTAGTACCTGATCAATATTCATTTGCCTAGCTTAGGTAACTAACAGTCTTAGGTACCTAACTTTGTGTCTATACATTTATAAATTTAAATCATCTGACTTTCATAACAATTCTGCAGGGCAGGGATTATTATTCCACTTTATACATTAGAAAACAAAAATTAATGGAGAAATACTGACAAAGATTCCATCTGGTATCAATTCAAGTGCAGGTGTAACAGACTGCAGAGACTTTCTATGACACAAGACTCCTTCCTCAGGTACAATTGAAGCTCTAGCTCTGCTCTTCAGGCCATGATCTCTGTGTCATTTTTATGAACCTGTTGCTGACAATATGCATCTTCTTTCTAGAATCCCCTCCACCCCAGCCCCAGCTTCAGAGTCGAGAAGAATTAAGGAGAGACATGGAATTCAGAGAGATCACCGTCTTTTCTGATTATGACTGTTTAAGTTTTGGTTACAAAAGATAATACTCATACTAGTACAGTCTGTGCCCAGCAGAAGACAGACACATTCAAAGTCTTTATGGAAAGACTAGGACACCGAGGACCCAAGTGGAAGTGAAGGTGGGAAATTAGAAGACTTGCCATGTAGCCCCATAAACTTGTCAGGTTTATTACATAGCCCTTTTTTTTGTTCACAAGTAGTGGGGAATTTGGGGCTCAGGCTCATCCAATAACCTAACTCAAAGCTTAGACATAATTTTTATTTGCAGAATTTCATAGGGTGAAAGCAAAGCCTGCTCTATTAAGAGGTCCTTAGATGCAGGTTCTGGTGAATAGATGTACAGAGCATAAAGAAACAAGGACTTTTTAGACTTTTCAAAATGAATTCCATGGGAACCATTACAGTGATGTCAACTTGCACATAAGAAGAATACACTTAGGGTATAACTGGCCCACCCAAAACCACAGATGTCAGCTGCTACATGCAGGAGTTGAAGCATGAGGATCTCATCTTGTAAGGTCCGTATAAGCTGAACACCTGAGACAGACGATAACCTGATAGCATCAAGGACACTTGCACTAGAGCTGAAGACTGACTTTTTGACCCGTCATAACCACTGGCTTGGAACCGACGTACAGTTCTCTGCGCTGCCAGTCAACAGGGCTGGCTTTGGAGATGTTAAAGGCTTTCATCCCTTTGCTCTCTTGTGGAAGACTTTGTACTTCCCTTCGCTGTGTGTTGTATGTTAACCTGTATGGGTACCTGATCCGTTTATCTGAGGTTCCACTCAATAAACCTGGCATTGTGGAAAGATACAAATGTGTTCAAGAGTGTACTTCAGTAGCTGCTTTTCCTGTCTGCAAAAGTAGATTCCAAAATTTTTAAAGGCATTTTAAATGTAAGAGTACTAATCCCTTGTTTGTAACAAATATGATCTTCTCTGTTTTTGAAATGTCTCTTGACTGGTAAATTGTAAATATTGGATAAAAAGGTCTATGTTTTATGCATTAGAGCATAACAAAAACTTGGTGAAATGTGGAGAGCTGGGAACTGTTTAATTCCTTTAATTGCAATTCCTCTAATCACAAAAAGGTGATTAGGAAGCATTTTAAAGGAATTTCTTTAAAGAATGAGTGGAACTTGATTATCATTTGGATGTGTGAAAAGAAAAAGATGACTATATTTTCATGCTGACACTTCTGTGGGTTTTGCCATCTCTAGTCTTTGATTATTTGATAAATTCTGGCATAAGGTTCTCTTATGGGTGAAGACAGAGATTGGGTTGTCCAGATCCAAACATAGTTAACCCGGAGGCATGGTCATGCAGCTATCCTTGTTTTCCCCTGTGAAAAAAATGCACCGTCACATGGTCTTCCCAGAGACACTCATATTCTGAGTACACATCCTAATGTCTCCACACACAAGGGAGAGAATTTTGACAGACTCCTCACTTAAAAATAAACCTAAGTAACTTTCTTAACCTTGAAGTCCAGAACTGGTCACATCTCACTTCCATTTCTGTATACCACTGGCCTTCCCACAGTCCTAAAATCTATTTTCTTCAAATTTCTTAGATATATTTTGGAATCCCCGAATCACTCTGACCTGATTCCCCCAGAGGTGTATTCTCTTTTACTGTGGTACATAGTCCTTCCAAGACACTAAAGCTTAAGCTGTAAAATAGATCTCTCCTGACTATGGGGAGGGTGGGGGACTTCTTCAGTCATAAGTCCAACTCCAAGTCCAGGGAGGAGTCAGAAATTGGATAATGCTTTCCTCTGTTTGTCCAGCATGATTTTACATACTCAAGAAGGACCTAAGCTTGTCAAGATGGAGCAGCAAACCAGATTTATCCTCTCACTTGAAACAACAACAAAATACTGGACAAAATTTGTGAAACAATGGTTCTGAAAACACTGGACATCAGGCAATGAGGCAGTAGAGGACAATGATGCCTGAGTGATACGAAACAAATGTGGTAAATCCTGTTTACTGGAAAGAAATCTTTGCAGCTTATTGGAGAGGGATTCCAGGCCATGTCAAAAGGAGAGCAAACCCAGGTGTAGTCTGACAGTCTCCCTGTGTTGAGGACAACGGAATGGAAATCCTGGGGAGGTCGGGGGTAGGCCAAGGCAGCTAGAAAGGACAATGATGCCTGAGTGATAAGAAACAAATGAGGTAAATCCTGTTTACTGGAAAGAAATCTTTGCAGCTTATTGGAGAGGGATTCCAGGCCATGTCAAAAGGAGGGCAAACCCAGGTGTAGTCTGACAGTCTCCCTGTGTTGAGGACAAGGGAATGGAAATCCTGGGGAGGTTGGGGGTAGGCCAAGGCAGCTAGAATTCAGTGGGTAGAGTATTGAAGAAGCGAGAACTGCATAAAAAGAGAATTCTAAAGATCTACGAAGGGGTCTCATTAAGTATTCAGCACAGTATTGATCAGTGCATGCATGTGTGAAACTATTCAAAAGCATTTGAGGAAACAAAATCCAAAACAAGAACTCACATAATTACAGAGGGAGCTCTAGGATGGCCCTTTTCAGAGTTGTCTAAATTGAGGTGCAGGGGACCAGGCCCTTTTTCCTCTCTTATCAGCTAGTCTCTAGATGGGGGTTGCCCCAGACAGGAAGCATAACTTTGGAGGAGGCAGCTCTTTTGCAAAGGGCAATGAACCAAGAGGAACACTTATCATTGTAACTATTTAATGCAAAAGAGTCCTGACCAGCACAGTAAGTCAATGAAGAAAGAAGAGTTTTAAAGATCAGATTAAAAATGGTTAAACTATTGTTGTTTTCATATGATCTAATCATTAAAAATAATAATCAGATTTTTAGAATAGTTATGTGTTCAGTAAGATGTTCAGTTATAAGAAGAACTTAAATCAATAGTTTTTTTTATATCAGCAAAAATTATCTAAAATTAACATACCATTTACGGTAGGAAAAGCATATTAATATGTAGAAATTGGCATTGTTAGAAACACAAGACCTTTAAGGATACTATTTTAAAATTATGCTTAAAGCATTTAAGTGTAGATCCTGTTAAACGTAGAGATAAACCATGTCCATGAAAAGGACACATGAACATTGTAAGAATGTCAGTTCTCCCCAAATTAATTGATAAATTCAAAGCAATTTCAAGAAAAATTCCAACATGAGGAATGTTTGTTACAGTTATTCTAAAGCGTATAGGGAAGGTGAAACTTTCACTAAATGGAAGAGAGTTTTTAAAATGATTCGAGTCATATCTTATCAGATAATAAAACATACTAAAAACTCATATAAAATAGTGTGCCTAGTTTAAAGGCCTAGATATAATAAAGAGTTTATAACAGGCAAATGTATATAAGTTAAATTGATATGGGATAATATCATTTACATATATACATATATATAATCTTGATAGACATATAGAAAAACATAGATGGAAAATATACAACAGATTGTTTATACTAGTTCTTTCTGATGGGTGTAATATTGCTGGACTTTAAATGATAAACAATATCATATAATTTGAATGTTAGCATGTCTATTTTTTATTTCATAATCAGAGGAAATTTAAAAACTTCTCTGAATTGGGCTGTATTGTTCAGAGTGAGACTTCCAAGGATGAGTATTGGATTGGTGAGAAAAATCTATGTTTATGAGTAGAAAACAAATGTAACAAGTCAACGAATTCAAGGACACACGTAAAGGTCACCAGTTAGGAACTCACAGAGAAACAAAAAATAAGGATGGGAGCTGTGGGGACTACAAAGCAGTCTTTTCACTTTTTATTGGCTTGATTGTAGCATCTCTTTTGAAATTTCACTTGTGGTTATCAGTCTGTTCCGGGGCTACCTTTGCATAGTACTATTGTTTTCCAGGTGTATTACTCTCAGCACAAGTGAATAGAGAGCTGTGCTACCAAGTTCCCGGCAGAAAAGGCTCCTGCCCTATTTGCCCATGGAGTTGTCATCTCTTTTTTCTCCTCATTGTATTGGTTACGGGTGGGCCCAATTTTCCTGTGCAGTATAAAGGCACAGGAAGCTCCATGAGGCAGCAGACGACTACAATTACACCAGTCCCAAACAGATTTATAAAAGGACACCAGAAGAATAAGTTTCTGCTCATTTTCTAATGTAAGGTAGCTTTCAGGCGATGATGTCTGCAGGTGGATCAGATGAGACAAAAAGGAAATTAAATAGAATATTTTATTACCTAACTAAATTGTCTAAAATCAGTGGGAGATACTACAGGGTAAAAATTTGTATCTCAAATGATTTCTCTGTTGAACATATTTTTTGCCTGAGATCTAAACCTCTTCCAGACTTTTCTCAGATTTATTCTAGTCTTCACTGAGAAAAAAAAAACATATAAAGAACTTGAATAGTTTAGGTCACTTAGAAAGCACTCAAACATTGG